CTTTTCTCATTAATCAGATCATTATTATCAGAATCCACATTTTAAATACTTGGCTTTTTTCTGTTTAAATGTACCCTTTTTTCTATAACTTCTGACCCTAACTGTCCCTATTTCTCTAATCCTATTTATCTAAACACTTGTGCCTCTTTTGCACTTTAAAACGGTGTGCCTCTTTTGCACTTATAACCCTGTGGCTTTCCTGTATATTCTTTTTTTGAGGTGACCAATGCTTCCCTCAAGGTTCAAAAACGTCGAAAAACCTGACTATTGTTCTATCGCGTCCGATAGAACGCCCGTCACGGCGGTCGTCTGGCCACGCTGCAGTCCGCCGAGCCGAATTCTCTCTCTCTCTTCCATTTAAAACAATGTGCAGATTTTCAAAAGTAACGATCCGCTTACCTCTTTCGAAGAGAAGAGAGAAGAGAAGAGAGAATTCTCCCGGCCGACGGACCCAGTCTATATCTGAGCTCATCTTGCGTCTTCTTTCTGTATCAAATCACGTCGGGGTCACCAAATGTAGCCAATAATTCCCTTTGGCTGACGTGTCCACAATTTGGTACAGAAATCAGACTAAAGATTCATCAAGGTTAACATCTGCATTTAATTATCTTTACAATCAGATACAGAATGTTCAACAAAAAAGTGCTCCTAAAACTAATATGTCCCTTTCTCTGGCCCTCGGCTGAATCCTTCTGTCTCTTCCCAAGCCAGAGCATTCAGTCGATGTTCAGGGAGCAGGGGGCGTGTCGTATCAGGCAGGACTTGGGCCCAGCCTCTTCCATCATGTCCCCTCTGTCTGCCGTACCTTAAACAGAATCATTCACACACACTACCACTCCCCAAATTTATTACTTCTTTGAGATAAGGCAGAAGGCTCTCTGGGTCCCCCTCCTTCTTCAGGATTAGCAGAATCCCCCCGCAGATTACCTATCATTAACTCACCCATGCACTTTGGACTAACAAAGGAACATGGGGAAACCAGGTCTTTTTGCTTTAGGAAAAGACAGTTCAAATCAGGGTCAGCCAATATTCACATCTGCATAGTTAAAATATACAACACGTACCATTTTGTTTTGAATAAAGAATGTGCCCTTTGACAAATCGACCAACTTTTCCCATTTAGGAGAGGACAAGCTGCTGTTATGGCTTTCTATTGAATTGTTGGATCATATGAATGGTTTTGTCAATAAGTTAAATCAGCAAAGTAAACATGATGCACGGCAGTCTCCAGTGTTTAAGTCTATTAAAAGTTATTCTATCTAATACTACTGTGAGATTTCAAAACACTTTTAAGCAACTTTTGTTAAAGTTAAACTCATCATTCTATCAATGTGCAGAAGCCAGTACTTTTCCACTTCATGTTTTGTCTATCTGAAGGCCAAGCTACATGGCACTGTGGCAGCTGCTGATTGGAGGTCTCCATGTCTCCGTCATGTATAATACACTTGCATTCTGTTGTATCTGTGTGCTTTGTTCGTGCTGTCTCTACCATCGACAATAAAACATGTCTTCTGTCTGAATGAAAGACGCGATCCCAGACTTTGCCATCTTCTTCACTACGAGTGGAACCGCCGACTACTAAAGTTATAGCAGATGTATGGCTTAAGTCAAAGAACTGGCCTGTGATGTGTTGGTGTTTACATGAAAAATCACTTATGCCACTAGGACGTCTATCGGGAGCAGTGGTCGCCGTAGTAACAGCACCCGGGGACCCATCAGATGTTGGTGCTCGGCTTGGTCAGGACTACCGGAGCTAAAGGGTTTTTCCTATTGTGCATGTTTTTTGTGGTATAGGGGAAACCGGAGCACCTGGAGGAAACCCAAGCAGACCCGGGAAGAACATGCAAACTCCACTCAGAATGACCCTGTTCTGACTGGGATTTGAACCCAGGACCTTCTTGCTGAGAAGTGAGAGTGCTATCTATCTACTCAAGCCACTGTGGCGGGAATGGGGCATTACACTGCTTAAAGCCCCATTTCCACCACCACTGCATCGCTTCACTGTTGTACTGAAGTTCATTTATCTAAAATCAGCCGAATGAACTTAGTTAAACCAAAGCGCACTTACTAAAAATAAAACACAGAAAAGGGGGCGGCACAGTGATGAGGGGATAGCACTCTCGCTTCTCATTTGCAGTCGGAACAGGGTCTTTCTGAGTGGAGTTTGCATGTTCTCCTCGTGTCTGTGTAGGTTTCCTCCTGGTGCTCTGGTTTCCCCTACCGGCCAAAAACTTGAACAGACTTGGATGAGTGGAAACATGAATGCAATAATAATCCGCAAAAACGCACCTGCAGCATTGGAGAAACGATCTACCTTAAGTTTTCAAGGTAGATCGACAGTGGCTCAGTTGGTAGAGCATTGGCCTTTGGGCCTGAAGGTCGTGGGTTCTATCCCCCTACATGGACTGCTCCCACTGATGTCTGCTGTCGTTGTGTCCTTGAGCAAGACACTTAACCGCACGTTGTCCCCGCTGAAAGATCAAGGCTGTGTCACCATTGACGGAGCAGCCATCTTCCCGTGGACCCACCACCTGCCGGAGGATCAGCGATGGACTGGTGCTTTGAACATTGGGTGGCAGCTCCCATTGTCAGCTGTGACCCAGATATGAACTAATAAAGGGGTAGAAAATTAATGAAGAAATGAAAGGTAGATCTCATATTCTTATTTATGGAGATGGAATTTTGCATGTTTGATTAATACATTTCTAATAATAAAAAAGACATTTTCTCTTTGAAGATTCTACTATTTGCCTACAACATTTTGCCATTTCAAAGTAAAGTCCTTCTGCTGATGCTCAATAATGAAAGGGTGCTATACAACAATATCTCCTTTTACATTTCACCATGTAATGATTTTCAATCAATTATGTTTATATGCGATTTCAGACTTCCTTAATCCTGTTTGATAGAAGAAACAAATGGAACAGTTCGAGTTTTAGAGGTATCATGGATTTTTGATGATTTGAAAGTTAGGTAACCCGGCTTTTAAGAAGAAAAAGAGCAGACACCACAATGCTTATCGTATTGTACTGTCACACTCACCGAATATTACATCTCATCACTTTCACGTAAACTACAAGCTCCTTTTTGTCATTACGTGTACCTTATAATTATACCAACATATTTTAAATAACAGTAGCACCAATAGTCTCATAATTCTGAGATATTTGTATGTATTGTAAATATAAACATCGGTGCAGATGAGTGTGTGCAATAAGCAATAAAAAGGAGTTCCATTTTAAACATTTGTCTATTTGTCATTATTTGATCCTTCTGGTGACTGGGCTCAAGGTTCTTCACTTAACCTCACATTTCAGCAAAGACACAAGCGTAATTTAAAACATGATTTATTGAAAACAAAAGTCTAAAACTCAAATAAATAAATGAACAGTGTGTTACTTCATGAATTCAACAATGAACAAAAACACTTGGTGAATGGAGCTATGCCTGGCCATTATCTGCAAGGTGTGCCAGGCGTGACTTCTCCTCTAGGCATTTCAATAATTTAAACAAGTTAATCAGAAAAGGATCAGTAACAAATGATTATGGTCAACACAAATATCAAAAAATCATTAAAAAAGCTTCCATCCCCACACGTTTAATTAGAAATCCCCAGAACACATTTATAAGGTAGTAGACGAGAGATTGTAGTGCAGGGAGTTTAAATCAGAGAGATGAGCATAAGTTTGTATAAAATAAAACTTCAAAAGATTGGATTATTACATTCATTTTGTGCACATTTCCCAGACGTATAAACACCCAGATAAGACTTTGAAAAGGTGATAGTGTCGCTGTACTGGTGTGATACAAGTCATCAATGAACTGCTACAACGACAACTGCATAACAGAATGTAAAACTGGCTAAACATGTGACCAACCGACAAGAGTAACAACTAAAAGATTGAATTATTCCCGTTATTTCACCATGGAATCATTTGCTTTTGAGTTTTCTGTGTGAAGTAAGCAGATGGTTTTGCTTAGTTCAAATGAATGTGTTAGTTGCAAACATGGTGGTATAAAGTATGTTCTTGTTGTTTAGGGCTGGACTGATTTCTAGTCATTATGTAAAGTGTTACATTCTTCACTTGAGCAGAAATTGGGATTTCTGTGCATGCTGCATGAAAAAAAATTAAAAATACAAAAAATAAACAGCAGGTGCATTGTTCAAGTTCAGTCAAACACAAACTTCGTTGGCACCGTTTGAAAATCTAAATATGGCAATACATCAATTTGCCATAGTACATAAAAATCCTGAATCATAAACCTGCTGTTAAGTTAAAAGCAACTTCAGGGACAACGTAAAAAAAAAAAAGGCGTCAGCTTAACATCATCTCTTGAGCTTGACGAGTCTAACACTGCTATCCCTTTAGAGTCCTCCACTCGTGCTCGGAAACGGCTCAGATTAATCTGCACGACACAAATGCAGAAATCTATGACAATGTGTTCTTAATGGCAATAATAGTCATTCGTTCAACAATCCACTCTACGAGAGGCAGTGTTCGGTGCTGGAGTCCACTCTGATTTATAATTAGTAAATCTATTTAGATTACTCCCTCACTGTGCCAATTAACACATAAATGCTTTGAAATTTAAAGGACAATCTGTAATGCAAAAGAAAATAAAAGATCCATAATAATATAAGACAAAGGGAGTAAATGCTTGTTTTGGTCCCTTAATGTGCGTACACTAACAATGACAAATCAACATAACATGACTTTAAAATCATAATTACACATTTGACACCAATTCATTATTTTCATTCAGCGTTTAAAACGTAAAGTAAAAACTTGCCTTTCGGAACAGTGAAATAAGCACTGGTACCACTGAACACAGTCCATCTAACTGAAATGTAAAAATCTTCATTTGAACTCCAAAATGATTTGGAGCAGCAGTAAAAACAAGTCTGAAGGAAGCACTGTGGTTGAACCGATGGTCCAGCGATATGGTCAGTCTTGTTCAGTGAGGGTCTCCACTGCCCACAGCCTTTGTGGCTGCAGGTGCTATGCTGCCATTAGGTACTGATGGTAAAACAGCCCAAAGAGGGAGGTGGAAAACAGACAGGCAGCGATCCACCAAGTGAAGAATGAGAAAAGGCCCCGAAAAAGCAGTGGGCTGAAGACAGTTCTCAGTCCTCCCAAGGCGACGGACAGCTGAGCCACGGACACACGCGCTCCTGCCTCTAGTGCAGAGTCCACTGGTGCGATGGGGTCCGCGGTCGCTGAAACAGCAGCACCAGAGTTCAAGTCGTGGGCACAAGGCAGGTCTCCTTCAGCGTAGACCCCCCACGAGTGTCCACCTACAGCAAGGTGAAATAGGTTAAGAGCTGCAACTATAAGAAACAATACAAAAATGAATACTATATAAACATACCCAAGGTTTTTAGCAGCAAAGTTGTGTGTAGCAACATTATTAAAGGTGCCACATACTGAAGTGCGATAACACACAAGTAGTAGAAAACACGTGCAACCTGAAAGAGCATCACAAAACACATGTGGTAGTCCCTTCAAAAAAAATTACACTTGCATGACAAACACAAGGGGTTCAAAACGCAGAAACACTGAGGTCACATAATCAGCAGTGCAGCCAAACAAGTCTAATCACCATCTTCTGCAGATCCACAGTACTGATGCGGCCCGCCTCCTTCTTCATCTGCTCCACTCCTTTCTGGGCCAGGTTGAGGTAGGCCTGAAGATGGTGGCGCATCATACCCAGTCGCAGAACGCACAGTCCAATGATGGCCCACAGCCTCAGAGTATCAAACGTCTGCTCGCTCATTCTGACAACCCAAACACACATCATAGATTTAGTCCTAGTGTTCTAAGGCATTTATAAGGAAACTTTGAACAGCAGAAGCTCTCGTACTTACAAAGGCACACTCTCCTTCCCAAAAGTGGGGTTCATTATGTAGTCCTTGGTGATTGGCTTCACCCACAATAAGACCATGATAAGTGGTGATAAGAAGTTCATATGAAGCAGAGTCCTAAAGGGATATGAAATATAAAACAGTAATCCTAATTTTGCATCTTAAAAGAAGACAACCAAATATCAGTAAGGGCAAAGCTTAGTGATATTTAGACTATATCCACACGAAGACAAAACGCTTATAATTTCAAAAACTTTTTCTGTAAACACGGAGTTAGCTCAGTAAATGTGTGCGTCCATATGAATGTAGTCAATACGCCTGAAAACGCTGTGAAACTATGCCAGACCTGTTGGTGGCGCTGTGACGCAATGACGGGATCAAGCCCAAACTTCCGTGACGGGAACTGGGCATGCGCAGAATTTTGTAAACAGACAACATGGCGAGTGGGCGAGCTGGTACTACATTAGTATGGACGGACGATGAGGTTGAACTGTTGCTTCAGGTCGCACTGGATTACAAAACCAACAAGCCATTGTTGTTGTCATTATTTTCTGAGTGCGGCGCATGCGTGCTTTAAGAAGAGGCGGGGCGATGACGCAAGCGTCTCAGATACATTGCGGAGAGGCAGTAACCACGGAGCGGCATATACGGAGTTTTGAAATCTTTCCACTCTGGGACCTACTTTCAAAAATGTTCGTTTACACCCCCCCAAAACGCCGGCCTCGTATGGACGATACACTGGATTGATATAGTATTTTTGCGTTTAGGCCTGAGCTTGACTTCGTGTGGACAGGGCCTTAGTCAAAAGGGATGGAGAAAGAAGTTTAGAGAACTTACTGTGTTAATTTGTTATGGGTCAATGTGAGTGCATCCAGGTGCATCTGAGCCAATCGCAGACCAGGAAAAGTTAGGAACGCTCCAATCAGAGAGCAAAGCAAAGCCAAGATGAGTTTAAAGGTGAGTTTAGATATTGGACCCCTGTGGAGAAACTTGATTAAAGTCTCTCTCTAAAAAGGTCACAATGGAAATCTGAGAAGTGGACATACAATACAACTACAATTCTATGAACCCAGATGACCAGATTAAGTAGAACTTACTGTGAATCCAAGCCCTGATTCTCCAGGAACCGCAGAGCACTGTCTGAGAAGTTTTCAAAGCCTAAAGCATATGTGATGATTAGTGTCAACGCAAACACTAAAAAGGTCATTGTTTATTTGTTCATACCAGTTTCCAGGCCAAACTCCAAATAGTTTTCAGTAACTATGAGGATTGCCATGGCTTTAACAAAGAAGAAGAAGCCAAAAGTAATACAGAGTGAGCGCTCGCCTCCCTCTTCCAACTTGAAGTAGTGTGCGGTGATTGAAAAGAGGGTTTTACTGTTGTTAGATTAAGGCAAAAACTAGTTGAGAAAAAAATTAAGCTGCATAACAGCATTATTATCCAGGACAATGTGTGCATCATGTATCTTTAGATTTTCAATACTGTAATTGTAAAGTGTAGATTTTCTCGTCTCCATTCACACTGTATATCCTGCCATCTTGTGTCCAGTCCATCCTCACCCCCAAAGCTTTTGCAGGCTTCCTTCAGAAAAGTGGACTTTCAATCTACAGTGTGGGCAGGAAATAACACGCCATGTGAGCGCGTGGGGAGCTGGCCCGAGCCGCAGCAGTGCAAAGATAGATCCCTGGGGTTGGTGGTGAGGATAATGCATATTATTTAACCATCATTCAGCGTGGCAAATAGCAGGTAGCCATGGACCATAAAGGTGCACGCTGCCAGTATGGCTCATTTTACAGCCACTAACAGTTACTGCTGCATTTGCACAATCAACCCAGAATGACTTGCAGCCTCTTCTGGATAAACAGATGTTAATAGACGACACACGGCATTGGGAACGGCCGAGTGGAAATAGGAATGTGAATGAAGGGGCAATCTTTAGGCCAACTCCAATAAGAAAACAATGTAGCCACAGAATCAATGTGACTGCACTTGATTGCGGTCGCGTAAAAACAGGCTAACTAAGATGTGAGCGTAAGGATACACCACAAAGGCGAGCACAAGCAGGCACCACACCACACTGATGTTCATCTCCGCCGAGGGCTGGGCCACGCTGTAGTATGCTTCTGTAATCAGATACACCAGAGTCGCCGCCAACGTGAAATCTACCAACCACTGGAACTCTGGGAAGTAGTGCAGCGCTACAGTGAGAGAGAGAGAGATGAGCCACAGTGATGGTTCATAAATGAGTCCATTTATGTGTCAATTATCATATTCTCACCTAATGTGTCTACCTCGGCGATATATTTAGTCTCCAGCTGCAAGTCGATGTCCTTTGGAACGGTGAGAGGTTTATTGTCGATGTGGCCATTGTACTTCCTGAAAACAGAAGCGCAAAAATCTGTTGAACTGCCATTTGATCCTCACAAAGCACAATGCTGTCAGGACTGTGAAGTTATTTTCAAATCACAGAACAATCATCTAGTAATAATAGAAGTTCCAAAATACTTTCAAAATAGGCCCGGCACAGGGGGGAGAGAATAAAAAATGCGAATTTTAGTATTTTAAAGATTGGGTTTTACAAAAGAGACGATATAGATGTTTTTTTTTAATAAAAATACATTTGCATCTTTTGTTTGTCCTCAGATAGTAGGTCATATGTACAAATCATATTTGGCTTTTTTAGAACAAATGTTATAAAAAGACACTTTGTCCACTTTAAATCAACATTTATTTATTCATAATTAAAAGTACAATGGGCATTATATCTACACTTTTTACATAGATAGATTACAACTCTGGAAATAGGCTATTTATTTATGGCTCAAAGTAAGTAGTAAGTGCAATACACAAAGTTTGTCCCATTTCTAGCTAAACTCCAGCAAATGGATTTCCAATGATCGAAGAGTGTAGATGACAGTACCTTCATTGAATTTGGATTTTACAATATCCAACGTTTATTTACAAGAAAATAACCATTATAACCAAACCAATATTCTACCATCCTTTTCCCAGTGACACTAGGGAATTCTTTTCATTTGTAGTGGGCATGCGGCGCTGAAGCCACAGGCGGCAGGCAAACAGAGCCGTGCTTTGGACTGAGGGAACAGTCTGGAAGGCCTTTCTGGTTTTGGGGGGGCTTTGTTTGCCTGGCCCTGTGCGCTGGCTGGATCCTCGGCACAATGCCACACTGTAAGACTCTCTGGCCAAACATGCCCGGCAAAGATTTCATCTTTGGGGCTCCTGACAGGCAGAGAAGGGGCTCAGCTTCACCCCTGACCGCAGGAGTCAGTGAGCCAACAATGGTATCCACGCCGCATGGCATGAGCAAGCAAAAGGGACACTGGTCCATCTTTCTCTTGGAAGGATTACTGAACATGTGGCGCTGGAGAAACGTGACCCGCCGCACACTGGGTCAGAATAAAGACTTTGAGAGCGTATGAAAGAGTACGGATTATTTCATTTTTTCCCCATTCATTTTTCATAAAGGACAAAAACCACTAAATTCATGTTCAGCATACGGTTCAAATGTCCACCTGCAGCCAGCACAAAAAAAGGAATAAATCATTTAATGGCATAAACAAGAAAAGAAAAAAAACATTATTCGGAATATAAAAAACTTTACACACATTTAACCACTTTGATATTATGCCTTTTGTAAAACATTGATTACAGGTTGGAAAGTCAAGCCTCTAAAATAACCCAAATATTTGTGGCTCTAAAGGGAAAAAGGGCAATCTTCTCTTGAATTTCTAAGCCGAGCTGCAATGACACAGTGTAAAAGAGGCAACCAACAGTCAACTTGTGTCTTTGTCCAACTTCAAACAGGCCTTAAATGAGCCACATAAACACATCAGCTTCATCTCCACACTGACAAGTCTGTGGTCTCCATCCATCGCCGGAGCTCGCCTCTCATCTTTTCTCTCCTCTCTGATGAAAGCCCGTACCTCCTCTGAGCCATAGCGTTTTCCCAACCCCCAAACAATAGTCCTCCTTCTCTCCAGCCGCCACCCCCCCCTTCACCTACCTGTCTTTCCGCTTCTGTCCTTTTTGTTTCCCTGCTAAGCTCCTCAACTCATCTTCCGTAGGGTGCTGATACCACCGCAGACTGAAGACAAAAAAAGGAAAAACAACAGAACACATGTGGGGTTATGGACATTGAAAGAAGAATAGCATTAACCTACAGCTGAAATAGATGACACGGAAATTGAAAACCTAAAATAGACAGACAGCTTTGGACAGACATTTGAAAAGGCACATTAAAAAAGGCCATTGAAAACAAACTTCTAAACAGGAAAGTCTAAAACTTGGATGGTACAGTATGTTGAATCTGAATCAGACAGATCTGTTTTAGTAAAGCAACAGAAAAAGCTCCGTCTGTAAGGTGATGGTCTGTGTATAGAAAAGCGGGTCACTAGAAGGAAAATATTTCTGAAAATGTATTAAGTTTGAATTAGGAGTAGCATAGAAAACACATTTTAAAGTCATTAGGAAACATTTTGTTGCTATACTCCTAAACTCGGGGTAGGCTTCAAGGGGAAAACATTTTTTATTAATAAGCTGTTGACTTTAAAACATGTCTGTGGCACTAATTAGAGGAAATCGGGTGATGTTTATTTTATGCGTTATCCCAGTGGGCAAACCCAGTTTTGCCGTTAGTCTTTGAAGAGGAACTTAACCATTCCATTTTATTTTTTCCAGAACCCAGTTTAACACTAGTCATCAAAACAAACAAGCATTGTCCAGGACTATTTAATGTAAACAGCCCATCTCAAAACAAGAGAAAGGCCGACAAACAGGAGGGACAGAGGGCTGCGCATTACCTGCCACTGCAAAGTAGCCATCTTGCGAAGGAATAATGAGGTATGATTTTTTGAATTACACTGGCCATTACCATGGTAACCACCAGCTGCACACCAATCACACCCTGTGGGAAGAGAAGTGGAGTTCAGAATGACATTTAAATTATAATTAGAAAAGACACAAAGCAGTCTCTTACAGCAAATTCACCATAAGCATTCATTTTGAACATCTTCCAATTCATATCCTAGAGAAAGCATGTCCATTAATTACTAATCTGTTAATCAAAGCATAAAACAGCACAAAACATTCACATCAGGTCAAAGATCTTACAGGGTTCACAAATATGGAAGGGATTCATAAAAAATATAGCGTTTGCCAAAACATATTCAGGTAATAGTTACGCAAGTCATAATTTGTTAAATCATGTAATATGCATGAAATTCAAGCACCAACTTTAAAATAAAACTCAAATATAGGACGGTTTTGTTTATAAACAATATAGTCAATAGAACAATGTAGCCATTCCAAATGCAACAATTGAGTTATTATAATTGTCTATTGCCCCATCAATCAGTACCAACACAGACTATAACTATGGTCTGCACTATAACACACATTTGAATAGTTCAGATTTCAATGTAATAGACCTTTTGTGCCATTATCAGCCAGTCAATAAAAGTCATACATTTATACAGGCAGCACCTGAAATAAAGGTTAAGCAGAATCCCTGCCAAAACATGGGCCTGCTTTATCTTAACAGTTTATTTTGTGACAAACCACTGCTCTCCACAATTCACATATGATTCTTTAGCGGAATACTGCAATTTGTTATAAATCTACAGTTAAATGGCAGCCTCTTGTCGTGACCTCAGTGATTTCACTGAGTGAACAGCCAACACTCCCGGGCCGTTACAGCAGCAGCAAGAGGAGTTCAATATCAGGCAGCTCGCTTAGATCAATATTCACTTAAGCTTAAGGGGCCAGAATCACTTCCATCACGCCGAGCTTTTATCCACTCAGGTTAGCAGGGGAGCGTTTGGCCCATCCTTTTAACTAGCAATGGGAATCACAGTTATCTGTCCCTGCAGACACTTCAGCTTAAAGAACCGATTGCAATTAGCAATAACTCAATTAATCTCCAATCAAGCCAGTTTTATTGCCACATTCCAAATATTCAGCAAAGATTGGGCACCTCCAAAACTGTCAATATCTACTAGAACCATGAAAATGCATAGTTTTTTGTTCCAATTTTCAGTTCTTTGGGTTTGTACAATTATATTGTGTCAGAGCTGCCACCTCTGTAGCGAGCTTTATATTGCAGCTAAAGACACATTTCTTTGCTCTGGCTTTTTAACACAAGCAATATTGAAACATGTATGATAGTGACCTGTATATTTAATTTATGCTGTATTTTATTTGTGTGTTGTATTTTGTGATGTCTGGAAAGCACTTTGTGACAGTCATGTGTTTTTAAAATATGCTATATAAATAAACTTTACCTTGACCATGGCATGCTTTTAGGGATGTCCCAATCGGATATTGAGATCGAGATCAGGCCAATATTTCATGGATTTTGACTAATCGGGATCGGCTAAACTGTCCAATCCACTTTCCCGATCTTTACAGCCGATATAGCAGTTGTTTATAGTAACTGCGCAAGCAATAATTTAAAGCCGAGTTACGGTACAAATTCAGAGTGGTGTTCATGTGACTAGTTAAAACATGTCTAAAGTGTGGCAGTATTTCTCATAAGAAAACGAGGACAGCACAAAAGCAACATCCAAAGTCTGCAACATGTTGATTGGGAGAAATGGGAGCAGCAGAGCAACATTCAACCACACCACAAATCTGATTCGGCATTTGCGGACTAAACACAAAAAGGAGCATACAGCCATGTGTAAATCTAAGGTAGGGGAATGTTCTACTAAGTTTTACCAATATTTTTTAGTTCAGACGTCTGTCCCATGTCTTTACTCAGCTTTACTGCACACTGGTGTGATCCCTTATGATTTAAAGCGAGCCGTATTGCAGCTCGTCAGTCTCGTACAGCAGACTGCGTTTAGCACCGTTAAGCCATGAGAATATTTGATAGCTTTGTAGTAATTTTGTCAATGTACCAACCAAGAGTGTTTTATTTCTTACTTTTGCCTGAAAGAATAAACTGAGACCGATTAACTTCTTTGATTTATCATTACAGCAACTACTGGCTCCACATATCAATGTAATGTAAAATATTGAGTGTACTTGCTAAAAATGTAGTTTTATAATTTACAATACAATGATCAAAAGCTTTGGATTGGGACTCTAGATTGGAATTTAAGTTTAATAATCGGAGGCAAAAAAGTAATGATCAGAACATCCCATTTTTATACCCATAGATTAACAGACGTAGTCACGCCTATCTCTGCCGTTCTAACTAATGGGCCAAAAATTGGGCTCTCATGAAGTGATTCAAAATGGCCGCGGGGGCTGGAAAATGTGAAAAAAGGCATCTGCGCATGCGTCAGCTGGCACGAGCCCCATTCATTTCAACAAGTGCCTTCAAAAATTCACAGCGAGTAAAGTAGACTTGTCCAAAAAAATGCACTCCCCTCAGCATTGACACACATGTGGAACGGAGCTTTGGGCCAAGAGCCAACTTTTGGACCATCCTGTAAAGACGTTTGAGAGGTAAGAAGATGCTATATGTTAGCATTGGCTAATTCTTATTCCGGGTCCACCCCCATCGGCCCGGGTTGGTATTGCAAGCATGTCAGCGCACGTCATTATGGCCACTTTTGAGTCGGGACCTGCCCCCACTGGTTACACCCAATTAGTCTTGTCTGGAACCTTTTACTTTTCTCTATATCAGGGCTCTGCAAACCTTTATTCTCAAAAAAACAATTTTTCACCCTATCCAGCCAAAGTACAATTTAATTTAAGTACAACTTAAACTTTTAAAGTTGTATGTATTAAACCAGTTACAATGTCTTAATTAGGGATGTCACGATTACTGGTATAGCGGTAAACCCCGGTGTAAAAAACAAAAAACAAAAACTACAACATTTACCATCATAATAAAAATAGAAAAGTTATCTCTGGATTACCGCACCCGCTTTGTACGGCACTGTGGGGCTTTCCGTGTCCGAGTCTGCTGAAGTTGCAGCGCGGGTGCACTTTCATAGCCTGGCTCTGCCAGACCCTTGTAGTTCCGCCATGCTCCACCAGAGGCGTCTGGCTGAACCACATGGGTCTGGTATCGACGCCATAGCGAACGCCTTCCCCAGATTATTTTTTAATCGACCAATCAGGATTGCCGGTGTTACGTGGGGTTTGCACTGCCTTCTCAAGCTTCTCTCATGCAGCAGCGAGAGGAATCCAAGATGGCGGTTGATGGTTCCATGTTGATATATGTGTGTTTTAAGAGTCAAATGTTCCTGTAACGTGGTTGAAGCACTGGTTCAGTGTTCCTGTTTACACACTATGCAGCAGGGTTGCCAGGTTCGGTGGTTACCGGATATTTTTTTCCAAGAGACTTTTAGGTATTAAATAAACAGAAAGACAATAAACAGAATCATGATAGCCCAAGTTGATTACATTACGTTTTTAGCCAAAAAATCATTCTGAGTTTTTTTTTTTGGGTATTCTCGCGGATTTTGGGTTGGAAAATCTTGCTGGGATTTGGCAACCTATGGGAGCCGTGTGCTTCGATGTGAGTGGTTGAAAGCAGACTTCATTCAAGATAACGGACAAGTGGTCTATCCAATCACATACAAGGATTTTTTTTACAAGGCCCTGCCTTCTGAAATCCAACCACTATGGCTCAGTACCAGACTCATGTAAAGTGCAGCGAACTACATGGGTCTGGCAAGAGTCAGGCTAGCACTTTCATGCTGGAATCAAGAAAGTCTGAAGTGTGGGCATATTTTGGATTTTTAAAGAATGCCGAGGGACATCTGATGAAAGACAGCTATCCTGTCTGCAGAACGTGCAGGAAAAGTTTCCGCAATGTTTCATCTGCGTGAGCATCACCCACAGCTCTATAGCCAATGCTAACTCTATAACCAATGCTGGGTAAGCTAACGTTAACGTTTTAGAGTAAAAAGATGATGCGGGGGGACTTCAGGTTGAGAGGGAACGCAACAATTTGTCTGGTTATCCGTAAATTTATGTAGGACTATCAATTAGGGCTGGGACAACGCGTCGACGTAATCTGTGACGTCGACGCAAAAAATACACCGACGTATAATATGCGCGTCGGTGCGTCACACACAAAACAAAGATGGCGGCGAGCGGTAGCAATGCGAGTGCCGTGTTAGAGAAGTGCAAGCCGGTGTAACGCTGAGATACACTGCCTTGAAGAGATGCACAGCCTCAGCTGTTTATGATGTAATGCAAACCTGCGCATGCGCGTCTCACGGCAACCGAAGCAAACCAAGATGGCGGACCGTGAATTTCTTTAAAAGTTAAAATACAAACGAATTCAGACACGATTGTCACTTTTAATGCAATTTGAGGCGAGATGTTGATGGTTCTGTTTTGTCACATGTGGGTTTTAAGAGTAAAAGTTTCGTGCAAAGTTTAGTTTAAGCAGTCAACTGCGCCTGTGAAACCACAAAGCTAATGTTTTCATAGCAGTCCGCAGCTGCTGACGTAGGCAGATGACGCGTCCTGTGGCAACTCTACACTCTTACACTGGTCTGTCCCCTACATGTATTATTCACTGTCATGCCCGCCGTATATGGACATTTTTCAACATGTGTTCAATATCCTTAATGTGTTTAACTGTTGATTGATTCTCTGATCTGTGTTTGTGACTTCAATGTTGTTTTAAGTCCTCTGAGATGACTTCTACTGTATTCTTTCAGTAACTCTAAAAGAAAGGATGACTGGTTGACCTTTTTATTTGCTACACAATGCATTGTTTTTCTCTTGTACACTCTTACTTGAATTTTATTTTTGAATTTTGAGTTTAAGAAAAAGGTGAGAGGCAGAGTTTTGACTGTTATTTTTATTAAGAATTTAAGAGATGCACTTTAATTAATGGACTTCAGTAATATAGGCCTATGTGTCTTCAACTTAAATGTTAAACTCTGTTGGTTCAGGAAGGACGCCATGACAGGCTGATGGCTCCCACTGTTTTTG